CCACACCCACAGCTCAGCTCTGTACTGTGAGTATAGAGCCTGGAGAAGAGGCAGCAGCTCAGTGATACAGCAGTAACACTCCCAGTGGGAGACTCCACACCCACAGCTCAGCTCTGTACTGTGAGTATAGAGCCCGGAGAAGAGGCAGCAGCTCAGTGATGCAGCAGTAACACTCACAGTGTGTTGGTGCGGAAAAGGTGCTCATCCCTGCTGTTGCTCCTCCTGACAGGCAGATCCGGGTTCTCTTCCTCTTTCTCCTGCGGCTTCAGTGCCTTCATCATCCTCCTGATCATCTCCACTGCGGCGCCTCATCCTCTCCACCTCCTGATGAACCTCCTCATTCAGGAAGACCTCTCCGCTGTTCTCCGCCAGCAGCTGCTCGATCTTCTCCAGCAGCTCAGTGACCTGAGTGCTGTCCTGCCTGTTCTGGTTGTTGAGAACATGATACCTGTTCCCACATTTCTGCAGGAGCCACTGCAGGTCCTGCCCTCCGGTCTGGATGTGCTGCTCCAGGGCTGTGTCTCCCAGCCTGTCCCCCCAGGTGAACAGCAGCAGCGTGGTGTGTCTCCACGCTGTCTCGCCCAGGAGCTCCAGGTGCTCCTTCGCTGAGGTCCTGTCGGTGACCGAGCCGAGAGGAGTGACCAGGAGGATGGCGTGGGGTCCCGGGGGACAGAGAGACGCACTGCGCACGACCTCCTGTCCAACCTGCTGTTGCACCTCCTCTACAATATACCAGCCTGGGGTGTCGACCACAGTGACCTGTCGCCCTGCCACCTCCCCCTGTCTCCTCACGCTCTGCTCCGTTCCTCTGCAGCTCACAAACTCCTTCCTGCCCAGGATGGTGTTTCCTGCTGAGCTCTTCCCAGCTACTCTCTCCCCCAGCAGCACGATCCTCAGCTCCGAGAGCCGCTGGGCCTCGTGGGAAACAGCCCGTCCCTCCTCTGTCCCTGCAGCCTGGACTCCCGGACCTGTCCGGGAGAAAGAGCACAGCTTATTCCCCAGGGGTTCGGACAGACGCCCCAGTGAGAGCAGCTGTCCTGGGTACGGAGCCCCAGCAGAGCTGGCAGGGTGACACTGGGGTGTCTGGTTCAGTGGCAAGGGTACACCCACCCAGTGAGTGCTCTGTGCCCCCGTCCCTGCAGGTCTGGGCTCCACTGACCTTCCCCGGAGGCAGTGGGATCACCTCGGGCCCCCCCACACTGGGCAGGGGGCCGCCGTCAGGCCGGGGGTCAGACCCTGACCTCACCCACCGCAGGAGCCTGCACCCCCGCAGGAGACAGGTTGTGGCTCTCCTCAGTGCGGCGGGTTACCCCAATAAAGCTCACTGCTGGAACTGCAGCTCTTCTCCGCCTTGATCAGGGGTGACAGAGTCCCTGTCACCCAAGCTGGTGAGATACTGTGGACAGCAGTGCTTCACCCTGGGCCTTGGACACTTGGACGCTTGGACACTTGGACTTTATGTGGCTGTATTGTCATACAACACGTTTCCTTGTCCCACCTGTACTCGCTCTGTGCTCCAGAACGCACAACATTTCTCTCTTGTGACTCAAGAGTCCACTGCTCTCAGTTACAAACCAGCTCTCTGGGCGTGAAACAACAGCCCTCGACTCGGGGCAGCGAGGAGCAGGGGCTGCAGTCAGGACCAGGAGGAAGTGTCGGGGCTCAGCAGAGCCCAGTGCGTGAGGTTCTGTCATGCTGACATGATTCACGCCAGACTGAGCTTGAATACAGGCCCAGAGAGCCCTAAAGGCATCAGTATAGAGCACAAATCACACAGCTGTCAGCCCATTACAATATTCACACCCAGAGCAGCTCCTGGCTCCGGATGCCTTCATCCCAGGTCTTGAGTTCAGACAAACACTGAGACGTGTTTTGATCAGGATACTGTTGGAAGTCCTGTGCAGAATAGATTCTCAACAGGAACAGGGACTGAAAAGAGACTTACTACAGTTTTCACAGTGAATTTTCAGTTTCATTCATTCAGTTTGATTAACACAGAGCTGTGTTTCTATCCCAGAAATTTCGAAAGTGATCCAGAGGTGCTGTTCTGTGCACAGTATAGGGAGACAGTCACATAGCAGAGAGACTCACCAGAGTCCAGTGTAGAGAGAGACAGTCACACAGCAGAGAGACTCACCAGGGTCCAGTGTAGAGAGAGACAGTCACACAGCACAGAGACTCACCAGGGTC